ATATAATATGTACATGTAATTAGTGTTGTTTACATTTTAATCGGTAGATACAGTTTTTGAAAAAAATTCTGATTTTTGTGATTTATAGAAAAATCCTAAAAATATCATCTTTTATATGGTTGTGTTTTTTAATGTAATCTAAAAACACTAGTCTTACAAATAATCTTAGATAATCATTGTCTACAAACGCTGGAAGTCTCGTGCAATTTGACAACATCTGTGGATTTTGTCTGAGAGAGCCCATGAAATACTCAATACGTGACTTTGACGCCGAGAAACAGATGTAGAAGAACACTCGTGTTGATTGGAATAATGAGTCCTCTTGAAATAAACATCAGTTTTGCTGTATAGCATCAAGCGTTTCTTGTTTATTTTCTCGATTTTCAAAGGAGTAGAAAATCGAAGAGAAGCTCCCATATATATTGATACTGTTGAAAATTTGAATACGTGCATTGTCATTGAGGATTTCGTATTCGAACCTTCAGAAAACGAAACTTTTCACTAATGAAAGAATCGTCTTATCGAGAAAAACATACCTGTTTTTGCGGAATGAAACTATTCAATGATTGTTCTTTCTTTCACTAACGAGGGAGCCTTTCCAGGTGACACCCTCCGTTTGGGCTCATATTTTGCCCATAGGTGGGACACATAGCGTAGATAAGAGCCCTAAAAGGGTTTGTGCTCAAAGACTGTTGTTGTTGAGATATTGCGTTTTTAAAGTATTGGGATAACTCATTGCTGTGGTCCCCCTCAGGGACATCAGAAAAACTCATTTTCGAATTTTGACTTGAAACTTTGCATAGAGAGAGGTCTCTATGAGAGTGGTTTATTGTGAAAGTTTCAGCTTTGCTGAATGCTCCTAATTGGAAATAAGAACACCAAAACTTGCCTCTGCAAGTAACATTAGGTTACCATGGTCGTATCTTAGGATAGGAACAAGGAATAAGTCTGAAACTTTCACAATAAACCATTCTCATTGAGACTTCTCTCTATGCAAAATTTCAAGTCGAAATTCGAAAATGAGTTTTTCTGATGTCCCTGAGGGGGACCACGGCAATGACTTATCCCAATACCTTAAAAACGCAATATCTCAACAACAACAGTCTTTGGGCACAAACCCTTTTAGGGCTCTTATCTACGCTATGTGTTCCATCTATGGACAAAATATGAGCCCAAACGGAGGGTGTCACCTGGAAAGGCTCCCTCGTAAGAACGAATTAGAATGGAAGACTAGGATTGCAAACCGTCATTCGTCGGTCAGACTTTGGTTCTATTTGAATCGTAATCCAAATGAGTAACTAATTCACGTGAATAGCAGAGCACTTATTGAGTGGTTTGTTTGGCTCTTCATGTATACTTGTGTACGATTTTCATGTTCGTTGCTGCATCACTTTATTCGTTTCAATATCATTTGAGCTTCTATTCTTCTTCAAAACTTAGAATTCGAAAACCGATAGCTAAATGATCATTAATGTTTGCGAAAAACTCACGAATCGAGTCATTAGTATTCGAGTTCGGAATATGTCATTCGATCATGCATTGCATAGTGAGAAAAAACTTCTCACAATTGTCAACGAGCGACAATGCAATGGAACTATACAAACTAATTTCCAGGCTGACTGAAGATGGGTGAGCGTAGAAGAAGACTCAAAAATCCTTCCATTCACTACCCAACCTCACCCTCAATGTTTCCTTGATTAGGTGGTAGCTATCATGCAGTTGTATTCCGAGCAACATCGAATATCTGTTCTTTTTTCTGACTCTATCTTATTGTGATCATGAAAGCAATATTGTTTTCTTGTAGTAGTCACGGTTGATTGCTAAAATACGAAAAGCATAACAAACTGTCACATCCCTTTCAAGAAAACAATTCGATCGTGAATATAAAGGTACTCCAGCATGAATATCACTAGTTTGAATAATCGTTATTCAACATGAATTTTCTTCATTACTAATTAGAATGTCTAGATGGGAAATTGAAAAGCAATTAGATGGAATCACGAACAGTATGAAAGTTAACATATTGAGCACTATCGG